CTATTTTCAATGTAAAATATAATTTGACATTATTCTAACCGCCAAACATGATCTACTTATTCAATAGTTGAATAACAAACACAATGTTCAAACAACACAATTGATTAATATCATTGTTCTATGTTAGCTTTCAAATTTCCTTATCGTAAAACAATGAAGAGAAACAAAACAAAACAATCTGTTTTATTTTATTTATCTTCTTTCACTATGGTGTAGAATTAATCAGACAACAACAAGAACAACAACAATAACAAGAGGAATTTGAAACAATACAACTTCTTATTTTCTTATATTTATACCTTCGACAGTCTGATTATAGTTGTGTTTTTCTTCTAAATTTTGTATAGTAGACTTAATATAGGCAAAGAAAAATCAAGGGACTAAGAATTTTTCAATTTCTTTTTATGAAAATTATATTTGATTATAATTTTTTTTGTATTTTTTATTAAGAAGGTAATGTATCCCATTTCGTTTACCTTCTATGTATGTCTTTATGTATGTATCTATGCATGTACGTGTGTGTTCACCTTTTATAAAATCGATATGATGATGAATATAAAAGAGAAAAATTGAATTTTAAGCGTATTTTATTCTTAATTCTAAACTAACTCTTACTCTGTCATTTCTTTGTCATTCAAACTCAATTATTTGTTTTCACTAATCCTCATCAGCATAAAAAATTGGGAGGCATATTTTTTCCCCAATGAGAAATATTAATTATCATATACATCCGTTATTTATTTTCAGATAATATTGTTAACCGTATACTACTTATGGGAATATAACTGTTAAGTATACTTATTTAATTTAAGTAATATTGGAGGATGAAAGAAAAAATTAAAAAATTAAAGCATAATTTCACTGGTTGAAATCATGAGCCAATTGAAGCTAGACCACCATGGAAAATCTGGAAGAACTGGATCGTCGATGCACACCGCTGAGGAGTTCCATACTAGGACGGAACGGCCGTCCAGTGCTTTCAGGTTTTCCATGGTGGTCTAGCTTCAATTGACTCATGATTTCAACTAGTGAAATTTCTAAAATCTCCACAAAATCCATTCTGATAAAAGCATAATTACTTTCTCACCAATGAAGGTTAGAATAAGATCATTCATTTTGTCTAAGAATATTTTTTTACACAATGTGTATAATTTTATTTTTATTACTAATAGAATGATAGATAATAAGGAAATAATAATAAATTATATGACAATCTAAATTAAATCACCGTATAAAGTGTATTAAAACAACAACAATAACAGAAGAAACAAAGGAAAGGAAAATAAAGGCAAAGAAAATGTTAAAGCACTTCAATATTGAGTGCTTGATTACTAGCTTAAGTGTAATACTTCAATTACAGTAACATTGAAATTTAATATTTTACAATAATGTTTAATATGTCTTAGTATTATTATTAGTAGTAGTCAATTACAAATTTTACACTACAAAGTTCTATATTAAGTAACAAATTTAGACTGTCGACAAAAAAATATTTAGTTTGTATTTACCTCAATAATGACATATGAACAAGTTAAAAGTTGAAGAAATTTATGTACAGAAATATGTTTAAGTTTTGTATTATACAATATACTCCTACCTAGAATGTTATTAATGATGTATTTTCTATATAAGTTTCTATTTGATGAAATTAACAATTTACATAAGTGACTTACAACAATTCGATCATTGAACTCAGTCTAATCTTTAGTCTGCTAGTTAAGAGATTCAATATACCCGCATTACAATCAATGACATTGTACTTTACAGGAATATTTAGTGAAAGAAAGAAAAAGCAAATAAAAATAACAACAGTGTGATGAATATTTATGAAGAAATAAATTTTTTTCTCCTGTCCGATAGTTGAATTTCCTTAAGTATTCAGTATAATTAGTCTGTATAATGAATACATAAACTGAGTTATTAAGGTTTATAGTGAAACTTTTAAAAATGTTTCTGGGAATTCTGGTGTAGTGTAATGAACAAGAACACGAATGAGGACAGTTGAATGTAATTGGCATGAAATTACAGAGCATCTGACTAAAATCTGAGAACCATATAGTAAATAGTTAATATGCAAAATATCAACCCATCGTCTCAAAATTGACTGTCCATTTTTGCAAATATCAATCCATTGTCTCAGATTTTTATGGTTCATACATTTTCATACCAATTACGTTCCGTTTCCGTTCTTCCCTTATCGGTATTGTACTGAAATACCTTCTATACCTGACCACTGTTGTATACTACTTATGTGGATATAAGTAACCCACACCACAGTAGTAAGGATTATTTATTAAGATAATGTCTTGATTAAACAGATAATTTCTAATAGGATAAGTTCAATAAAAACATTAAAGGCTTCATTCAACACAAGACTAGGACAACCGTTGACCTCCTGTAACGATGAAATTATCGAATTGATATAATTATTTCTATTTTCCAGCCACCTATTCACCAACCAAATGAATAGTGATAAATTATATTTAAGAAAAAAACATCAAAGCCATTGAAATCCCTCGTTATTCAACAATAGAAATGGAGATGGGACAAATCTTCTGCAATTATTGGGAAATACTTTGATGAGGATATAAATGAGATATACTAATGTTCTTAAAAATAAAAATTTCATAACAACCGAGTTTGCTGTGACGTCGAAACTCACTGAAGACAATGGTGGATGTGTCGCTTAACCTTTTGGATTAGTTGAAGTTAGACATTAACACGACTGGATGCCTGCTCAATGGTCTAAAGATTAGGCGTTCGCGCGTGAGACCGATAGGTCCTGGGTTTGAATCTCTCGAGGCGAAATCGTGAATGAGCACTGATGAGGAGTCTCGCAATAGAACGAAACGACCGTTCAGTGCTACCAAGTCTTTCATGGTGGTCTAGCCTCAATTGACCTATGATCTAAGCTATTAAGACAGTATTAATTTTGAAAAACGACATTTTTACCAGTTGATATCATTGATCAGTTTCTGTCGAAACGAAGCAAGGATAAAAAGTGTTTTGACACAATGATTTTGAATAAGGTGGTTTGTTAATATTTTGGATTTTTTGAGTTAAAAGAACTTTACTGTTCAACATGGACTCATACAAGTTGCATGAAAAAAATAAAATTTTGTGATGAACTCCGTGGTTAATTTATTACGCATTATGAGTATCAAGACATTTGAAAGCAGTTTACTTGTCAGGCAAATAATTTTGATTGTTGTGCATTTGGTGACTATGATCTTGAATCGTAATTAGAAGAAAAATTACTAGTTATAATATGACATTCTTATAGTTGATAAATAATACTGGAGGTATTTAAGTAGTATATTCAATCATTGTGAAATAATTTAAAGTGGCACTTCACAAACATAACAGGTTGCCATTGACGATTGGTTCGATTGCTAACGTATAGAAAATTATTAGTCAAAACAATTTAATGCCAAGTAACAAACACCTATACTTAACAATAAACCCATTTCATTTATTCAGATTAGAATAGTTCTGAGGTATGGAGAGCTTTTTATACACATCACTAAATAACAAGTGTATAGCTTACTTAAAGTGGCTCGATCATCTAGACAGTAATAGAATTGTAATCTTTCCTCATTAATTATTTCCAACTGTAGTCACATACATCTCGTGAATAGTGATAATTTCCCATTTGGTTTCAGAACTATCTGTCTGATCTGATTAGATAAACAGATAATCGATACTCAAATCTTATTATCTAAGGCTTCATGTTATTTTTTAAAGATCAGATTAATTTCTAATAGCAAATAGTTTTGTGAGGCGCTTTTGGGAAATAAATGGATTAGAAATTAGAATTATAGATCGTTGGTGGATAAGATAAAAAAACTATCCATTATGAATTCATTTTTGTATTAGCTTTTTGGATCTTCCCATGGATGTTTTGGAATTTAATTGATCAGTCTCTTATTGGTATACGTGCATCCTGTACAGAATGCCTCGATATTGTTTTAAATCACAATGATGATAAGCAGAGATGGTCAAATAAAGTGCTAAACATCAATGTGAAGATTTGAACAACCAGTACGAAAATGAATTTAAGACCTCACCCCATTGCACGAACTAGTGGCTATCTGAACTCAGCTAAAAATATGTCGCGATGGCGCTTGAACCGAACGGTACTAGCTTCGAGTCCTGGAGTAAACATTAACTCAGAAATGCAGGTGCGTCCAGCTGCCGAGTAGTAAATAGGACGAAACGCGCGTCCTGGATTCGGCTGCCAGTCACCATCCGTCTCTGTTTATGATATACATTCTTTGCTTTAGTTCATGTTGCTGCGTAGTCAGAATAATCTTATTCGACCATTTGTTCCTCTATTGGACCAATTAGCCGAAATCCCTTCACTAATTTTCATTGTAATTTTAAGTAGCTCAGAATTGTAAAGATTGAAATTTCTACTGGATGTTAATTCTACACAACTCAAAAATTATGTTGTATTGTTTGATATTCCACAGCTCAGTGAAATAATGATTTCTGAGAATTACAACCGTATTTTTTGTCAGTTCGTACGCTATCAGTACAAGTAGATTCCTATCATACCAATAATACGATAAATCATATCAGTTCTGAAGTTTTTTATAATAAAATAGGGCTTAACATGAAGTTAGAAAGGCTGGAGTTCGATCCTTTGCGAAAAAAACTCTCCTGTTGAAATGTTGGTATTTAGTGCTCCTTGATTTTTACTAGTTCTCAAACATAAATTACCCGAAACATATTTTGTGGAAATCAATTTATAACTCCAAGATTATAAAAGATGTATAATGTGATTTTGTCACAGCTATATCCCACTACATTTCAAAGGAACATATGAAGTTAAGGCAAAGTCTGTATAATTTCGCCTATGACGAACGTGAGAAACGTCATTCATACTGTATTCCCTCCATCCATTTATCAAACGAAACATCAATAATAAATACTATTATTGTTCTTATCAGATAAATACAAAGAAATGCAAATGAATTTTAAATCATGAAGTCAGTAGTTTATGTTCTAATGAAATACTTCATTTCCTCCGTGACATTCTTAATTTCATGGGGATGGGCAATAGCTTCATCCTCATTACCAGTAAAATGAGAATTTCCAGTGTGTTCTTGAATAATAGTTTGACAGGTTAGGTTATTCAGCTGTTCACTTACTACATTTGAACTAACATTACCATTGTTAGTATCTTTATGAATAGTACATGGTTTGGATAAACTAGAAGATAATTCTTGATGGGAGGATGAAAAACGACATGTTTCCTTTGCAGTTTCATGAAAATGAAATTGCGCCCCACTTTCTCCGTCTAACCAATCATATGAAATTGAAGATGGTTTGTATAACGTGTAAACGTTGAAATTCTGTTCTTTATTATCAGTATGATAGAATTTATTGTTTTGAAAAGTATCTATCGATCCATGGTTAGGAAACATTTTACTATCTATATTTAGATCTTGATAAGCATTATTCCTAAGTAATCCTCTTGGGGTATTAGCTAAAATACTATTGTCTGACTTTGTATCAAAGTTATTACACATAGGAGATGAAAGAATCCCAACTTTTTCACTTTCATTTAAACTACTTACGAAAGGTGTTTGTAAATAGTTTGAATTAAAATTAGATGTTAAATTAGTGAAGTTGTTTAATGCATGCTTAATATTCATTGATGAGGATTTAGGTTCATTAACTTCATCAGTTTTTTGAATTTTTGGGTTATGGATACATAAACAAGGCCCAAACAAATTATCATATTCAGTGGCCGTTTTAACGTGTTTTGCAATCATTAATTGACTCTTTGGGCGTAATTTCTTGTTTAACTTTTTATCTGGTTTAACTGTGTGAGCGATTGAGTACGCTTCATTTTTCTCAGTAGTTTTTCTAAGTTCTGAAAAAGAAATTAATACATAATCTAGTTAAAAACTTACTAGTCCTTTTGAATTTCTGTTTCATGGAAACAATGAACATAAATCGCTTACCAAATGCAAATTTGTCTACTAAATTCTCAGTTGTATTCCTAATGTAGGGATTAGCTATACTCCGAGGCTGTACACTAGGAGTTCGAACCTTTAACCTATTGGTTAAAACTCATGTTATTTAACCAAGTGACCACTGCTTCACTACAACATTGTAAGATAGCCTAGACATTTTTAATTAGCGGTCTTTCATATAATTTATCAAGTAAACTGTCAGGCGAGTTAACCTTAATGTTCAATGGATTATACATTCAGGAAAAATTTTATAACCAGTCATCCGTTAAAAAAATTACACTGAGATCGTAATCAAATACTGTTCAATTTCAAGAATGTTTGTCAAGATCTTCGTCTCCAACGTAGATGAACTGCTAAAAATGTAATTGAAGTTGATGAAATAATGGCAGAATATCAGTTCCAAAAATCTCACTAACCTTGATAACTAGTTAAACAGTGGTTTAGAGGTTAAGCATCCACTACCAAGATCAGTCGTTTTAGGTTCGACCCCCAGTAATAGTAGATACCCACTACTGATGAGTACTATACTAGGACTGAACAGTTGTCCAGTAAATCATGGCTTTCAATTGTAATTTAGTTAGGATTAGTTTACAATTTAAACTATGATAATTACCCATGTATCAATATGCTTCACACACGCATGCACACCAGTTTAACACTGTTTACTCAATAATCGATGGTTATTCACAGAAACCAAAATCGTTCATAAAGATCAAAACAGAACGTTTCGATATTTCTACTACAACACACCGTAAAGAATCCATACTCTTGATTTACACTATATACAACATTTATCCATAACTTAAGATGAAAGATTTATTTTACTTTTTTATGACTATAATAACATTATAAGTAAATGAATCATAGAATGAATAACAAATAAGTCAGTTTCTTAATACACTTTTCCATAGAAAGAAATTCACAATGGTATCCATTTAATGTTTCATATACTATATCTCAACAACGTTTATGTATATTTCATATGTCACAGATAAACCTCGAAGCAGCGGACGGCCGTTTCATCCTGTCGTGGGACTCCTCAGCATTACGCATCACGATCCCATATCGCGAGATTCGAACCCAGGACCTATCGGTCTCTTGTGCAAGCACTTAATCTCTAGACCACTGAGCCTATGTCACAGGTATAATTCGAAGTTTCATTTGAGTTAACTAAATTAATATAAAGTTTGTACATGGTAATTACCTCATTAAGATATAAATATAAAATAAATCCATTGACTTATCTAGCCTCCACTGTTAAATTTTGATAGAAAAAGAGAATGCTTTTAACAAAGATACAAAGATTTCATAGTCAGTTTATTTCTAGCATTATCACATTTTATGAAAAAATTCTGAACCTTCTAATTTTTATTGGTATATCTACAGTTGAATTATAAACAAAGAAACTCAAAAGTATGCTACCTAAAAGACCGGTAGGTAAAAATCTAGGTATACATTAGTGCTGTACACCAACGAAACCTAGATCTTTTCCAGTACAAGTTAAATTAATCTTAACGCTATTATGACTGGTTCGAGTGTGATAGAAATTATTTATGAAGCTTGAGTTTTGAGAACTGATTTAATCTGCTATTGTAAATTTGATGTTTTTATTAAGTTGTGTGTACATTTTGTGTACATTTTTTTCAAATGAAATTGTTGACTAAGGAGACCTAGTCAAGAAGAAAAATTAAGATTTTTTTTAGAACATTACTCCTCGCCTCTTAAAAATCTATACTGGTCACACCCTGTGGCTAAAATCTGTCAACGAATGTTCTTGGGGAAGTCTGAAGTAAAAACAATTACATGATGACAAAATTGGATGGAGTCTACTTACTCTCGAAAATCTACTATCCAAAAGTTACGTGATAAGACAAGTGGGCCTTCCAGTTTTAACTCTCCTATCAATCTTGAGACTACAGAGTAAATTGCTTATCTGTTTCTTAAAAGCAATATATTCTTAAGAACGACTGTATGACATACTTGTTTAGTAAGTAAATAACAAGATCACGAATTTACAAAAGTTTCTGGAAGGTTCAGCAAATGTGCAAAACAATTAAAATGATGAAATATAAGTGGTTAGACACTATCCAGAAATGAGATAAAATGAATGTGCTTGAAGGCAACTAAAGACAGAGATGTCCGTAGTTTACTGAACAATCCAGAAACCAACAAACACTGAACATCTTCAAATTGCCTTTATGGTCTACAAAATAACATAATCAGTCAAGAACTATTTCATGTCGTTTACTTACAGTTAAGAATTTGTTACACGGATAAATTTCCATTGGTCAAATTTTAAATGTAACATACATTTTAAGAGATCCTAATTATGCAACCTAATTATTCTAAAAAATGGTTAAGTAAGATTAATGAAAAATTGCCAACTGAACCTGCAGAAATAATGAAGCCTTTAAATTATGACAATCAAAATACCAATCACATTTACAGGCAACGATATATGGTGACTAGCAGTGGAATCCAGAGCGAGCGTTTCGTCACATTTGTAACTCGTCAGCTGGATGCACTCGAGTTCTGGAGTGAATGTCAATTCCGGGATGCATGTATATCCAGCTGGTGAGTTCCAAATAGGACGAAACACCCGCCCTCGATTCCACTAATAGCCACTATATATCTCGGTCTATAATGCTTGTGATTTAAGGTAATATCAAGGCAATCCGTACAGGATGTAAATATGTCAATAAGAGGCTGATCAATTGCATTCCTAAACACCAATGGGTAGTTTCAAGCGAACAGTACAGAAATGTACAGATCACATCTGTTTCAGGAAGTGAAGTTTATTTTCCACGTTATCTTGAAGTAATAAATTTCCAACGTATAGGATGGCACTTGTAGTTTTTTGTGTGTTTTACAAAGTCTGGCACCCCAAAATTTTAAAACGATCGTTGACACTACTTATTAGTAGCTTAAAAATAAAATCTTAATAAATTTCATAGTAGCACGGTACAATTGTAAATGCTTGCAACAGCAGTGAAATTTCGGGTATTTGGTTATCTTTATTTAAGTTTTGTACAAGCTGTCAGTAGTGAATTCGCCAACAGTTAATGAATCGCAACATATTTAAAAACTGAGAACTTAATAACCCCTGGTTAAGGAAACTTAGATACAATACACAACATAAATTTGGCAAATTTATTAAAAGTTATAAATAGTAACCTAAGGAAATTAATAAACCTAATTGATCATGTGGAGTAATAAAAAACAAGGGGGTTGGCAATATTGGGATAAAACAAAGTAAATGTAACCACATAATACTTATTAAACCATTATATTAGTTATATAATGAAACAGTCCATCGATTAAAATGGTCGGGCCACGTATTACGTATGCCCGAACACCGATTACCATGACGCGCAATGCTGACTAATGTTGGTGATGGTTAGAAGAAAATTGAGAGCAGTCAAACCGAAACGTGGCATCAGTCCTTGAAGTCATTGACCTCTGGTTTGAGCCATGTTAGTAGTTGCAAACTACTTGATCGGGGTCCGCGCGACTATCGTAACCAATGGTTGGAGACACTGGGTGACATGTCCCAGAATCGATCACAATGGGATAGGTGTATACACACTTTGTCTTCCCTTAAACCTTGAGATTAAAATTGCTTTATATATTTCTTTCTACCAACTAATTCTTTCTTCCTGTATCATACCCTTATATGCAAACTTTCTTTTATATATTACTACCATTGAAGTGACTACTTGTATGAATTCGGTGTTCATCTTGTTGTGCTAATGAAGTGTGGCAACTTGGGCCGATGAATATATGTGCCTGATTCTTCATGTTAGCTGGCTGGCTGACTAACAATGAAACAGTAACAAGGAACAAGTATGTGGACATTCAACTCAAAGCTCAAGTTCAGGATTTTCTCTCAACTCCCTTCAGTCACCTAATATCAACTATAGTGTGTATGACTTCGAGTCATTTAAACTAGTGACCACGCTGTAACTATATTAACTGATTTTGATCAGTGCTATCGAGTAGACAAACATGGCAGTGCAAACATCTCACTCCTACAACAAGTCAATTGAGGATCGAATAACCTGATTGTAAAGTTCCAGGTCATAACATTAAATGATCCCTGTACAATTCCCATAGACTATCGATATTTAAGTTTACAAAGTATATCTTGAGAATAACAAGTAATTTCTGAATATAGATAAAACACTAATATTAATCTAAATGAAGAAACGATTGCTAACTAATGAGTATTTCTTTACTTTGAAAAAATATACCAGTTTGAATATGAATTGTTACTGTTAGAAAATGTAAGTGATAATTCACTTCAAGTAGTATTTAGCTTTTGGTGAGGCATATACATGGTGAAACCACTCCAAAAACAATGAACATCAAGTGACTTAATAAGTATATGACTTTCTTTAGAGTTTTCATTATTGTTTTAAATTCATTATATTTTTGAATATATCAGGAAACACTATTATTTAGTTTTCCTCGTAGTTTCTCAGGCATCATTGTACTCTGACAATATTAGTTCTAAAATAGTATCCTCTTTATTAATAATAAAATTCTGTTAATCAAGAAAAATAATGTCTAACGATCATACAATTAAGGATAGTAACAAAATATTATCAAAATTAATTGTTAAATAAATTGTAATGTTTTGTCTCAACTGAAATCAAGTCATTATAGTAATTATGATCTAATTACTATATAACTAAATGATCATCACATTCTCAATCATAACTAAGTTTAATTGGATATTCGACTATTTCAGATGTAAATAAGTAAATTATAAACTAAAAAAGAAAGCGAATGATTGTACAGTGTCATAAATTGGTTAAATCTGAAACGTTAAACTAGTAAAAACCAATTCACTTAACAAGATAAACTTCCACTTTGGGCCACCTCAATGTGTAGTTATAAATTTACTTGCTCATGTGGGGCACGTTACATAGGCCGAAGAAAGCGATCAGTTTCCAAACGCATCTCAGAACACTATCCGGCTTGGCTCTTAAAAGGAGAATGTAAGACAATCACTAGTTCTATACAAGAGCATTTAATCAATTTTGGGCACATCGCTCCCAAGGATTCTTCTTTTAAAGTGATCTACGGAGTCAAAGGAATTACATCAAAGGGGTGTTGAATCAGTATTGCATGCACTGCTGAGGCACTGGCAATTCACAAACTCAAGCCCGAACTCTGCGTGCAGAAACGATTTGTCCAAACTCTCATCCTTCCTTGGCCCTAATTCTCTTAATGGGAATGTTTCTGTTTTTTTCTGCACTTTTATTTGATTATTATCGAATTCTTTTTAAGATTACTACTTTGCATTTTAAACGCTAATCAATTACTATCATTATTACCTTATACAAGTTTTCTTGATTATTATTCAGTCTATTATTATGACCTTTGAGTTTGTCGCTTTTCTTCATAACTGACCCATAAACGATTTTCTTCCTTACCCCTTGATTAGTACGTAACCTCATTTATTATTTATTCTCGAATCCATTTTGTGATGCAATTTTTTCTGTCCTCCTATAGATATACATTTTCCATATAACTATTTATATGATTGTACAGCTTAAGTAAATGATTTCGTCGAAAAGAAAATTTTCTTCGCTGAATTCTCTTTTTCTTATTAAATGTCATTGTGTTCACAGCGAAAGATAAAAAGCTCCTGGATTTAAATGCATGTTAGATCATGGGGGTACACTTGTAATATCATTCAGCATTATTGGTGAAAATTATCTTCATCGAGTTCAAAGGTTGAACTATCAAACTATCAAGCTGATAACTTGTTGTTCTCAGCTGTCCAACCCGTTCATAAAATGAACTTTCTACAGTATCTCAAGCTCACTACCCAAATACCAAAACTGAAATGAACAGGAAGTTTTAATTCTCAAACTGAGTTATGATGCACATAAATCATAGGTATCTACACAACTTTCCCTCTGCTCTAGACAAGGATGAACAGACTGAGACCCTGAGTAGATTCATAATCTACTTCTATTAATGGTATCCCTGGTTGTAAATTCCCACATATCACTGACCTTATGATAATATGTGAGTACAGCCGCGTATATATCTATAGTTGCCTGGCCTAACATAACTACATCTAAAGGATGGAAATAACACGCTTTTAAGTCGAAAAACTGAAATTTAGTTATTAAATCCTCTACATTTGATCATTATAGATGGAATGTAAGTAGCAGTTGAACTAAGGCGTAACAAATTTCAGTCAAAAGGTCGACAACAGAATAATCTATACTTCACAAATTAAACCACTTACTAATGTTTTGTTACTTGAATGCAAAAAAATTCATTTTACCTGGACTAATTGTTCTTTTACGACCAGTATCATTTGTGCATTGTTCACTTCCATTTGTATCATAATGTTGCAACTGGTTTTCTATGCGACTATACAAAGAAAATAAGGATATGTCAGATATTCAATTTAATTACTGGTGCATAATAGATAGGTTTATATATGATGTACTACCGTCTACTCTTTCTTTACTGTTTGAATCTATTTAATGTAGCATAATCAAAACTAACTGAAGTCTTCTTCGTCTGTTAAGGTATATTATCTAACACCTACTCAAATCATTTACCTTAGTGTATTGATTAAAGTATATTCCACTTTTTGTAAAAGAAAAAAACTAGATTACTCAATAAATTATCATGAGGGATTTACAGAGATTATTGAATTTTTATAAATTACGCCACCAACCGATCTTAGTTATACAGTCATTTAAAATGAAGAAGTACTGGACGGTTGTTTCGCTTCAGTGTAGGACTTCTCAACATTGTCCATCAACTACCCTATAAGGGATCGAAACCAAGACCCTCATGTCTCTTGGCAAGTATTTAACATGTAACCCCTGAGTCAGCACTCAGTGAATTACGTGTCTAAATTCGACCAGTTACCGATATTGCGCAGCTATCGTTCAGTGTCACTGGTGAGCAACTACCACTCATCGACATGGTTGAACTCCACTGGCTATAGTTTCTCATTAGAATTCCAGGGATTAACTCTCAAAATTAGTACTTCATGGTTTTTGAAAGTTGTTTGACTGAGATTAGTACATGATGTAAACTAAAATAAACACAAAAATAAAATGGTTATAAAAACTCCAGAAAATAGATAGCAAACTTTACTTCCTATCCACAATGAAATTATTTTCATGTTAAAGAATAATTGAGTATTTCGTACACTAATCATTTTTGTAGCTATGATCCACTTATAAAATTATATATATATATATATATATATATATATATATATATATATATATATATATATCACTGTGTTGACTACTTTAGAAAAATTTTACACATATAGTAGTGTGTTAAACAGTCGGTTAAGTATGCTTTTAAAATAGTTTTCATTGTTAGAGACTCATTAGAATCTAGATTATATTGGAAAGCTATTTTGTCTTAGTTTCATATCTTTTATAAGTGTATAAATGTCGCATTCACTTTACGTGTTCATTTAGTTGATATTTAATTGCTTGAAATTTGTCAAGTTTAACCAGTTCTAAAATGATAGAGAACGGTAGTCATCTAAAGTTATCTATTAGTTACTGTTAAAATCTTCACTAACTTGAAAGATCATACCTTTCAACCATCTTGTAATTCTATTCATGGAGTCAATTAAGTATGATTATATTCGTAAGAAAATATCAAATATATTTTGATTTCTGAATAATATTGCACAAACAATCATATAACAACTTAGTGAAATCTGAACAAATAAATTTGTAGATGGAACTGATTACAGGATAATCTCAGTTGAAGTGTGGACTACTGATGAGTCCTGTACTTCAGTGAAACAACTGTCCAATACCCCATAACTTTTGGTGACATCCGGATGATATCGTAAATCATTGACAAATACTACCTCCAAAATAAACTAGTCTCCACAATACCCTCTTATATATTGTAGTGAATATACTAGTATTTGTAATGGTATATGTAATTAGGAAACTTTAAATTACAATGCTGTAGAGAAAAAATTTCAGTGACGTAAATATGACAATATAGTAATTGTTTAGCCTAGTTTTCACCTATGTGGATTTGTGGAACAGCATAAGAAATGTACTGGAATTTCTTGCTTTCATGTGTAGGCAAAGAATAAATTCATTCTCACACAAATGTCCACAATTAAAAGTAAATATAATTACTTTTAAAAATCCTAAGCATCAATAATATGAACAAATAATTGGTTCAGAGATTCTCAAAGATTTAGAATTAGAATTCTTTACAGATCGACATCAACTGGAGACTCCTTAAAAAAACAAGTGGCATACGACATCTATTTTATCATCGTGTGAAACTTCTTAAAATAGGGTTCCCATGATCCAAGAACCGACAGACTTACATTTAGATTACCGAGTTGATTCAAACTTTCAAACTCAAGCAATTCATAATCATATGATTACATAGGTAAGTATTTATATGCGAAGTTAGGCTTAATCTCAACTGTTTCTATGGAAACCTTGTTTCTAGTTTACTTCAAAGTAATTTTAGTGGAAATACTTTCTTAGCTAAAATTTTCTAAACAGATGAATAACTTTAAGTTTACTCAAAAAGTATTTACTCAAAAGTTTAAGATGAATTTTTTATTTTAACAGTTAAGTTCATGAGTCAATTAAAGCTAGACCACCATGGAAAACCTGGAAGCACTGAACGGTCGTTTCGTCCCAGTATGGGACTCCTCAGCAGTGCGCATTCACAATCTCGCCTCGCGAGGTTCAAACCCAGGACCTATCAGTCTCGCACGCGAACACTTAACCACTAGACCAATGAGCTGACATCCAACTGTATTAATGTCTAACTTCAATCAATCCACGAAGTTGTATTGTTAGTTGCCATTTATAACATTGTAGATAAATTAATCACTGATGTTTTTAAATCTATCTGTCATGTTATATCTAATGCATATAAATGGAATGATATTTTAATTTAACTTACCAGTTATCAGGATCACAATCACGAAATCCTTTAGCAAACGGATTACTAGAAATTTTCAATTGTGTCACCTGAAAAAATTAATGAAATTATTAATTTGGTAACTGGGTAATATTTTAAATTTACTTGGTGTTGTTTTACTTGTATCTTCCCATTGTTATTTAGGACTGCAATTGATCAGTCTCATGTTGGCATATGTGCATTCTGTGCGAATTACCTCGATATAGCCTTAAGTCACAAGCTTTTTATGCAAAGATGGATAGTGAACATCAACTCTGAGATGCAGGTACATCAAGCTGATGAGTCCGAAATAGGACGAAACACACGTCCTGAATTCCACTGTTAACCACTATCCATCTTTGTTTAAAATATATAAAATTTTTAAAAAAATAATTTAACATTGAAAAGTAGAAATCGCATTCATTTACTCGTATCATGAACTCAGTTTATTTTATTGTTTTTTGACAATAAAACCACATTTTACAAAGTTACCAACAAGAACCTGATAAAATCTTAAAGATTTTGTGCTCATTAGTTAAAGAAGAAGAAGAAGAAAAAAAGATACATTTGCATCTTTATTCATCTTTTTTCTTAGATTTTATGTATTCTTATATGTACGGTATTAAATAATATGAGATTTTATGTTCAATGTTTCTTGTAGAATACCTTAGATTTTTAATCGTAAATTATTTAGATCAGTTAAGATGATTTAGATAAACCAACTGAACAATAAGAGTATTCTTTTAAGTAAATAAATCAATAAATAAAGGTCATTAAGATATATTTTGTTTAAAGAATTTACTTTGAAGAACAACATCAGTTTTTCTTTTAAAATTTTTTTTATATTTTTAATTAACATTTATTGGAAGAGAAAAAAAATATTAAAAAATATACAAGCCATATGCTTACATCTTAAACCATGCGAAATAAGTAAAAAAAAGAGGTTTGGTCTATTAGAGATTAACTACATTTCATTTAGAACTTAGATACAATGACCTATGAATAACAATTTTCTATTGTCACAACATAAACAGAAAATTATTTTTTTAATAGTACAGTGAATTTGTGTTAGTAACTAGATAATATCTGGGCAGTATCATTGATGAACAGGGTGGATCTGATGCAGATGTGAAGGCGCAGATCGGCAAAGCAAGAGCAGCATATTTACAAGTGAAGAACATCTGGAACTCAAAACAACTGTCAACCAACACCAAGGTCAGAATTTTAAATACAAATGTCAAAAAAATGTTCTACTGTATGGGGTGGAAACTTAGAGAACTATGAAAGCCATCATCCAGAAGAAACAAGTGTTTATTAGCAGTTGTCTACACAAACTACTTCGGATCCTTTGGTCAAACACTATCAGCAACAACCTACTATGTGAGAGAACAAACCAGATACCAGCGGAGGAAGAAATAAGGAAGAAGCTCTGGAAGTGGATAGGACACACAATGAAGAAAGCACCCAACTGTATCAAAAGGCAAGCCCTCACATGGAATCCTCAAGGCCAAAGGAGGTAAGGAAGACCAAAGAACACATTACGCCGAGAAATGCAGACAGGCATGAGAAGAATAAACAACAATTTGATAGAACGAGAAAAGAAGGCCCGGGAGAGAGTGGGTTGGAGAATGCTGGTCGGCAGTCTATGCTACACTGTGAGTAACGGGCGTAAGTAAGTAAGTAAGTAAACTCGACAATATATATGCATTGGCTGATTCATTTAGTACTTATTTTCTAAAAAGTTAATAGGTGTATACTCAAATGAATGAAGACCTTCATGACATTTTTTCATTTTAACATGCCATCATATTTAAAAGTGAAGTACCCTAAACTGCTTTCATGGTGTATGAACATCTCTGATAGATACTGTCTAGATGAACCCAAGTTACCTAGTTTCTTGTAAATAAATGTTAATCCTTTCGTTAAACGATACCCCAAATGACATTTTTCCAATTTATATTTCTTCACTGATCTTTGTTGTTATCCAACTGATTATTTACATTTAGTTTACTTATGTTCCAACGTCTCCCGAGCTCATGTGTTTTTGCTAGATATAGAGGGTTGTCCTACTTCAAATTTATATTTCTAAACGTCAAACTGTTCCCAAGTTTCTATGTTTTCTCTGTTTTCCATTGTCTAAGGGATAATTTTTGAAGCACCTCATGTCAATAGTCCGGTTTATTGAGTTCGTATTAGATCCTATTTGTATTAGATTTCCTACAATGAGAAGTTTTACATTTTCACGTTAATGAGAAAATCTCTCGAACTGATTTAAGCAACCATGTTAAATAACAAGAATTACTATTGTCAATAAGTCTTGGATGGTTTAATACCGTTTTATTTCTATTCTATTATTTATCATATTTGAAATTTACCTTTATGCATAGTTTTTTTAATCATGGAAAATATTGTTGTACAACGTTAACTATAAGTTTTCAGTATCGATTCATATGACTTTCAACATTGAATCATATTTATTTCTGTGTTAGTGTTTTTCATAGATATATAATTTTGCCAATAAAATAAACCGTTAATTTAGTAGGCTTAAGTCAATAATTCAATATATAATATACCCTAGTGCGTTAGAGTAATTTTACATTGGTTTTCAGGAGAATTGGACACCATCTAGACCTTCATGTGACAACCCAAAAAGTATAGATCAATCCCGTTTAACAGGAGAGACAAACACCGCCCAGGCTTAACTTGAGCAGTACAGCTTAATCCAAATTACTGCAGTAACAGAAATAACATTCATAATAAACATTTTGTTCGATTAAATATGTTCGAATAGGAAGCGAAATTAAATGATCAACAACTTTACCGAAATAATTTTAAATAAAAAAAGAAATATGTAAACATAGAGATTAACATAAGTAAATAAAAAACAATAATAATAATAGTTATTACTCGGTTATTCTGATAAGCGGTTACAGCGAAAAATTTTGTCTCTGGAAATGTAAATGTTCTCTTCATACATTTTGATGAATTTGCACAAAATTGACTAATTTCTCGATTATTTCTCATAATTTCATCCATTTCATCTGCAAAAATCACATGTAATCTTGTCTGATATTTATGCATTGAATTTAATATTATCTAATGAATAGAAAAACAATAAAATGTCGGAAATAATGTTACGAAAGAAAATTACGCATGCTATGTTAATGACAACCGTGTCTAGTGTGAGGCAGTTACTCACTGAAGACAATGGAGGATAGTCACGAAATATCGTGGATTGGTTGAAGTTAGACATTAACAGTGCTGGATGCCGGCTCAGTGGTCTAGATGTTAAGCGTTCACGAGCGAGACTAAAGATCATGAGTTCGACTCTTGAGTGTGTAACCGTAGCTGCGCACTGCTGAGGAATCCCATGATGGAACGAAACGGCTGTTCAACGCTTTCAGGTTTTCAACGGTGTTCTAACATTGATCCATTCACAATCTCAATCAAAATGAATAATGACTAACAATAAAGATCTTGGGTCATGTGCAACCTCATATTAAGTAGTAGTCATTAATATTGACTGGTGAGTTGACTTCCTCTGTGTAATCTAATCTCAACATTTATCACTTTAAATACCACAGTGCTTTTAATCATTGACATGCTCATATGTAACAAACATCTCTTGTTTATTAACTACCGGTAGTTATAATATCTTGATATTGCTATTTGATATTATAAATATAATTTATGTTAAAATATACTTGTGCGTTGCTTCATTTCAATGTGATATATAGTGGATTCAAATAATCACCGCTGTATTTCGTATTTTTACTTTACTACACGAAAACTCTTATAACACTAAAAAAGTTAAAAAAGCCATCTATCGTCTAGAAAATAATCCAATAGAGTAGATATTATTACTGAATAATATGAATGAAATAAACATGATGAAGTGATATTAAGTCATGGCAAAACCAATAAACTGTATACTCATATAAATTGTCATTTATTGAGGTCTTATTTCCAAATTCATTGAGTAAATCACTTACAGTTTCCTCACCATCATGTATTTCACAATTATTTATTAATTAAATGCTTAGAATAAGATAACTAATATTTTACAGTCTATATTCATACGATTCAATAATTCATACCGTACTTTGATTGTTTCATCTTCAATTATTTCTAATTAGGAGTAATATTAAGAAAGAAAATAAGATACATTCGAAAATAAGTCAGTATATTAGTGTCTGATTTTAACACTGAATATACAATCATTAGTGTAAAAAAACAGTGGCTTAAATCGAGAGGAATAATCATCTATAGGATGAAATTGAAAGCATCCTTAATAGAAAACCGATACACGTATTCTTAAATAAAAAAGGTATTGTTAAAAAGGAGTAAGTGATGTAGTTGTAAATCGGTTGTACTTGTTGGTCATAGTATTTTAATCCCATGATATTTACAAGTTGTACTCATACAATCCACTATTGATAGTATTACCCAATTAAGATCTATTCGGTACATGATTATTAATCGATAAAAATAAAACTTATAAAAAGCCAATAGTCAATCAAAGATTTTTCTGTTTTAAAAAGAAAACCTTAAGTAAATAAACACTTACGTGGCCATTTTGATCAAATGGATTATTGGTTAACTTTAATTTATCAAATAATATTGCTTGACGCATCCAATACGTCCCACTGGCTATTCCATCTGGATGTAAATGTATTCGTGGTGTAATTTGTGGATCACCTTTACCTAAAAAATTCATCAGGAAATGATAGTAACTATGAGAAATCTAAAAATTCGGTAGTTTTATACAACAGATATGTTATAGTATCTGTTGAGTAGTTAAAAAATAAATGATTGTGTAGGGAGTTGAAAAGACCTTTAAATTTATAGTTTTACATAACTGAATAACTTTAGTTCAATAACCGTTGAAAACCAGGTAGCTATCTCGTTATAGTACAAGACTTCTTGGGTGTCTACATCTACCAACCTACTATGGGGTCAAGCCCACGATCTTTAGTCTTCGAGGCGAATGCTCCATCCTCAGACTACTGAGTCAGCGTAGACTGGTTTAAATGGTTCATTCACAATTTAAGTCAATAAATTAACAGTCCAGACAAGTCAGCCAGAGTTGGCTATTTGAAGAATCTAATTCTATGTATAAATCGTTAATTTCATTCTATCCAATAGTATGCAGTATTTTCTAGTTCTAGTCCTGTTCTTCTGATAAAATCAAAGCTTGAATGAAGTACTACGACATATCTCCAGACCTATAAATATATACAAATCTAATTGACCCCACAAAAATTTCTTGATAATAACCGATGCTTGGTTAGCTTCTTCCGAATAGTTTCCAAACAATTATTGTAGATTAATTTTTTGTAAGTTGTTGGTGACAGGAAGAATTTTTTTGTTTTGATTTTGTGGTTATTCATCGCAGAGTAACTTTAGCCAGACAGTCACCGAAAACCTGAGAATAATGGACAACAATTTCAACCTAATCTAAGGCTCCTCATATAGGCTAGCTAAGACCTTCCATGGATCGAACCCAGGACCAACAAACTACTTAATGAGTGTTTAACATTCAACCCACTAGGGTGGGATTTACTGGTTTGCATCTCCAACTTCAGTCAATTTGCCATATTTCGCAACTGACATTTGGTCCCATTGGTGATATTTGCCTCATTCCCAATATGGTTAATCGCCAATAGTCATGCCTTGTCTCTGAAACTCCGGGAATCGCCTTTTAAATATATTCAGTAGTTGGTAAGTTAATTATGTAGAATTTTAAATCTTATAAATTCTTTATAGTTAGAAATTATAAATAAGAAATGCTTAAATGTTTTCCTATATAGTTGTACCTTGTACCATCAGTTATACTAAAACTCTAAATATATGTTTGTACTTAACAGTCTTTATTAACGTTCTAGAAATAATAGAGTATATTAGTCGAATTTTGTAAGAATATTGAAATTTTCCACTCATGAGTATCAAATATGTATGTGATTTCCTGACAAAAAACTTGACATAACACAGTTTAACAAAATGAGAACAGTATTTTACGTCTGAATAACCTGAAGAATATTTAAACACCGAATGGTTTCATTGGAGGATCCAGCTGTTCATTACCCCACGTTTTTCAGTGGCTTTCCAATTATTATCAATTAAAGATGAAGATTATTCTGATATTGTATAAAATCTGTACAGAGCCAATTTCGTAATTATAAATCATTTACTAAGACTCTTCTAAGTTACTAGTGTATAGAATTCGCCTCAACAATCGATAGAGAAATAATGAGATGTTTAGTAGGAAAATAAATAAAACAAGTGGATAATGAATTATCATTATAAAGGAAATAGTCTACTCACCTGCATGAACCCAAGTTGAAGTACGAAATGAATATCGATAACGTTTCTCATCACATGGTATAAAATCCAACGCTAACATATAATGAGCATCAGGTATTAATCCAGACAGACGAACATGAAAATTTGGAAACATTCTTCTGTCAAAATATTGAAATAATTTAATAAATATAAGTAATTATCATAATAATTATTAATCAATCTTTACTTTGCTCTAAATATCCTCAAAACTACTTCCAAAGTTTAAATGTCATACATTGGGTATTCTTTGTGGCATAATAGTTTAATGAACTGAAACATATATAGAACAAATATGAACTAAAAAGCCTAAGAAAATCGTATCACTACAGTTTAAGACCTATCAATACTGCATAATCCCAATCACAGGACCGAACTTTTGACCTTGCTTCTTGGCAAAAATTGACATGATTGAGTCACTGAGTTGAAGTTTGTTAATACAAATTTAAAACATTAGACAATTTTTGTTACAGACTATCGTCATCCAACGTTTGTAACGAACTACTGTTGTACTGTTGATCTGACTTCACAGACTGCATTGCCAAATGAAACTCCTTAAAATGTTTTTTAAATCTTTTCACCAGTTGACAAATAATTATTATTGGATCGAATGTTTTTGTGAAATGATGGAAAATACAAAAAACTCAAGTAACAGAACTGACTAGTGATACCCGGTATTCAATTGTTATCATAATCGAATCAATTTGTGAGATAACCGACCTTCAGAACATGTCGAATTTCGACAGATGTATCAGATGTACTGAACTTTGATACATTTCACCCCCCTCTCTCTGTATATATATATATATATATATATATATATATTATACATATGCCTTCATTTTATATCATCAGTACTGTTATAACTATATATACTAGTAAAGTAAGATCTGAAGTTTTTTTTACGTAATCGTTGACTAACCTTCCACATTTGGTCACAATCATCTCAGTACCTAATCGATCAAAACTTTCCCATAAAGAAGCATTTTCAAGTGTAACTGATATATTTTTTATACTGTTCAATTTCCACGATTCATTATTTAATACGTAATCAATAATATCATTATTCGTCTTCGATCTTATACTTTCAATAAATTCACAATTTTCATTTAATCTATTTACTGGATTAATAATGACATCGACAATATTACTATTATTGCCAATATTCCAAGAAGATGTATCAACAGTTTGTTTATTTATTGATATTGCATCAATTGATTGATCATTTCTTTGATGATAAGTAGGCTCATAATAATCATAATTGGAATCATTATAGTAATCTAAGGTAGGTAATGGATCAAAATTTGAACTAGTTGATACACAACCGAATAGATAAGTGTTTCCAATACAATCGGATTTAACATATTTATTTGTATAATCACATTGGAGATTTGTAAATGAATGTGATTTTTCAGCATCAAATTGTTCATTATCAGTTGACTGAAAATTATGATTATTATTATTATTGAAAGAATTAAGCATCAGTGTTTCTTTTCAGTTTTATTTATTTGTTATTTTTCTATTTTGTTTACTTGATTACTTTGTTTCACAATGTATTGTGATCATTTGCACATGTGATTTTGTAAACAAAATTTGAGAATGTTAAATGTGTCAAACTAAACGCCTTAAAATAAAAATAATCATCATCGTTATAATAATAATAGTAATCGGGATAATTGGCAATGAATAAAGATACATGACACTGTAGAGCGCCAACGTATAAAACATTGTGTTGAAATTCACAAGTTTTCACTTTTAATATAAAAACTATAATTTGTATTTGCTTAACAAAAAAACCATCAGGAGATAGATAATCTGGCTATGTGCCAGTGATAATCACCCCCTTTCTGGTTTGTTACTTAAACAAATATGAAAATAAAATGTCCAACTGAAAAGGTTTGTGTCCGCATCTATATATATTATTTGTGTGCTTTTTATAACTACTGACCAATCATATTACATGGATTAACTAAAAGGGGTACAAGATATAGGTCCACTTTGATAGGGTAAAAAATGTACGAAGAGATCATTTACGATAGTCCATTTAGAAATAAGTGAAATTTTATATATTAATGATACTTTTAGATTGTTTATTCTCCTTAAAAACATATCGAGTACTCCGATTTGAGGGAACAGTTTAACAGATGGTTTTGGGCAGATTAATCAAAATTGTGAAGTTCTTAGTTATACATAACGACAAATCCTCGATGGATTGGACCAAGAACTACTAGTCTCTGAATGAGTGCTTAACCAATAGAGCATTGAATCCCAATCCAGTGGCACACATTTCTAAACTCAATTAATTCACATCATGCCGTGGAGTCATGGGTGCCACTAGTGGGGAACCCCACACTAGGACGAAACATTTATCTGGTGTTACCTGGTTTTCACTGATCCTCCAATGGAGCTCAACTCAGAAGGAATATTACCTACAAATCGACACTGGTTCTAATAATAGATACTTTAGTCAAAGCAGGTATTAAGGCCTGGATGATAGGAGTTTGATTTATACGGTTTGTTATTGCACAATGGAAAGGGTACCACAGTAAAAAACAATCTACTATTCAGGGCCCCCTAGCCTTTCGATCAGTGATTACTTCTTTTTCGTTAAAACATAACATAAATTACCTTCTAGCATAAATACTTAAAACAAGTGAATTTTATTAACTATAAATTATTTTTAAGACGGTAAACTATAATGTATAAAATATTTAGTATAGGAGTGTTTGTATAAGCTGTTAAATTTTATAGTTTACATCACGAATTGATCTTAGCTAGACTACCTTTGGAAACCAGGAAGTGCTAGGATAGCTGATTTGTCATAGTATGAAGGTCTTCAACAGTACGCATCCATGATGTTCAAAAATCCTGAAAAAATCTCTATACTGCTAATAATGTATTAACTAATGACTAATTTCAAAAAACTAGAAGTTTTGGGTTCGATGTCGGATGGGTTAGTAGATGACGGATTTAGGTAGATTACTGTTGACAATAAATCGACTACTTGTTTGTATGTACTTTATTTTTCTTTGTTATGGCTTACCTTTAACCTGTCTAGTTGACCTTTTACTTTTCATATAAAAATGTCTTAACAAGTATAAGTGTAATCAGATTGTTCGAAATGTATTGCTCAAATATATCACATAATTCTGATAACCTTTATCTTCTCATTGCAATATCGAAATTTATCAAAGGGATTAATTATTTTAGATTAAGATTAACTGCATTTCACTAAGTCATTATATTAGCTCATGCCAATTTTGAAACATCTAATTGTACGTTTCTAACATAAACAATTTATTTCAGTGTTTAATGTTCACAGAAATAGTCAATAAACATATGTGAACTACATTTCTATCAAATTGTTACTTAGTTAAAATGTAAAAAAAGCCATATTCAAATTCAGTGTTCCTTAAATTACTAATTTTAAAAAATACATACAACTTAATTAATCCAACTTAACAATGCTCATATGGTTAAACGTAAATCAGCTACCTGATATAAACTTGTGACTATTATTTGTAAGCTCAGATTTGACAGTGTCATATTTGAGTGGAAATATCTTAATGGCTAGAAAGAATAACTTGTTATGCATACGCTGATTAGTTATACAGAACTTTCCTCGGAAGACCCTATGAGAAGGCGGGAAGAAGATACCTTTTTTAATCTCAGCATACTTCTATATCTCTAATTTAAAAAAATTACGTGAATAAATATATGAATCACTGGATCATAATGCTCCATAAATAAGGAAATGTAATGTATACTAAAATAGAGGATTTAAGGTACCAAACTGGAATACTAGGGTTATAAGTGAATAATAACACCTTGGGAACAGAACACTCATTTCTCAACAGTTAACGAGTCAATTAAAGCTTACAATTAGAATATAAAAATTGACCTAAACTAGGTGTTAATAACCACGAAGTAGGCACTGTGACGGCCCACAAATTAAATTTCTTGATTCGAAATCTTATTCATTTCACTAAAACATTTCCTCAGTATAGGGGTTGTGGAGATTGTTAAGTTTTTGATTGAGATCATGAATCAATTGATGTTAGACCACCGTTGGAAACCTCGAAGCACTGGACGGCCGTTTCGTCCTAGTATGGGACTCTTCAGCAGTGCCCATCCACGATCCCCCTCCCTGCGAGATTCGAACCCAAGACTTATCGGTCTCGCGCCAGGCGCTTAACCAACTAGACCACTGAGTCAGCATCCAATGGTGTTAGTGTCTAACATCAACCAATCCACGAAATTGCGCGACCAACTTCCATTGTACTGAGGTAGATACCTGTCTCTACCCGACACGGATTAGCTCCACTGGTCACGGCTTCTCACTAGAACTCCGAGGATTCCTGTTGATTCACAATTTTTTCAGAAAATATGAAAGTAAAAGAGTGGATCATTTTGTTATTTATACAAGATAGTAAAATTAATCATAGCAATTAACAATCTAACTCATGTATGCAAAACAGTACTCGTGTTGTTATTAAAACACCTAAATTTTTAAAAGTTGTTTGGAAGAAGGTTCTTTTAGAGTGATAGTCCTTTCCACTGTAGTTTGTAGAACAAGAACAAAAGCTTCTGAATTTTGACATTGTATGAGATTTTTTTCTAACTCGTGGATTACTTTAAACTAGCGTTACTATCACTTTACAGTGAAGAATAAAGTACTTCTTTATGTTAAGTTACCACTTTCCGTTTTGGTTAGAAATAATTGTGGATTTATTGATTGCCATTTAGTTCAATATGTATTGTAAGCGCCTAAATCTCGTTTTAAAGTATCTACGTATAATGAGATAACTATGCTATAAATCAATATTAATAATCTAAGTAATGAGCTCTAGGGAATTTCATTAAGTCAACCCATCCAAACTTGTAATTTATCAATACACAATTTTTAATATTCTAAATTTCCCTACTTACTGATGAAAAGAGTCGGATTCCTCCCGAGTTCTTCAAAGGAAAACTGCTGCTTTTATAACAAAACACAAGGATGAAACAAAAAGACAAAATCTTATCTCACATTTCTACAGAACTATCAAAGTTGAGGAATAATAGTCACGATTGTTTTCATTTTATTTTTACTTAAAACTTAAGTTCAGAAATATCTTAGTACTTGTCAAACAGTAAGATTTATACTGCTCCAGGAATTTACTTAAGTTGTCATGGATTCAAAGGTGCCACATCGGACCAACTTCTTACATCATATCACATTCCC